AGGTACATATGTAAGTTTAGAAATCCCTGATTACTCTCAGTGTGTATATGAAGGTAGTTTTATTACTAAAAATAAAACAAATGAAGAGTATAGTCCGTAAACCAAAGTTAGTTTATACTTATTTTGCGAGTCGTATAACCATACTTGATATGACCTAGAGACCTTTATAACGTTCTTCAGACGTTTAAGCTAAATGACATTTGTTCATCTCAGGCATGCCTGCCTCACTGTAGCTAGCAGTTCAGGTGTGGGATTGTCAGTCCCGAATAGATCTATTCACAAATCTCACGCTCTCCCTCCAGGAGACTCTGGTTATACTGAGATAGGATTTAACCTGTACACCTAAAGGTACAGTATTGAAGTAGAGCCTCACAATTTTGTATAATCTAGTTTACTATCGAGAAACAATATAAAACAATAATTATCCTTGAATAAATGTACTTTATACTCCTGAGAAAACATATAACATAAACTAAATCTGCCATAGCTTCTATATATTCATCCATGAAATCTGATTTGGTAGAAACTGCCTAGAGGGTTATCCCAAACTATACCTATTATAATTTATTAGAATTTGTATGGAAAATGCTTTGTAAAAACCTTTATGAAAGCTATGAAGTTAGATTTCCAAAATAATAGTTTCCCTTATGCTCAACATATTACAAAAAGGGATAAAATATCCGAATATGTTATTAAACGTGGAAATCGTTGGACTGTATTAATAAGTTTAAAACTTAATAAAATACTTTGAGTTTGCCTTGTATTCCCCCTGCAAACATTAAAAACACGGAAAATGTAGGGGTATGAACTCACCTCGGGTAAGTAGTTTGACTGAAGGATCGATACGGAAAGCTGGATGTTCAAGTGAAGCCTTGAACACAATTTGATCCTAATTAACACGTAATGACACATAAAGGAGTCAAATGAAGGTATTTCACCACTAGATGTGATGGAGAACCACTCTAGGGACTTGGAACTACTTGCACTAAGTGTTAGGACCTTAAAGGATTGCATGAGGGAGGTGTATGACCACCTTAAAGGTGTGTACGGCCATGGGTGTGCGGCCGTACACTCATGTTGGCAAGTGTCTTTGAGGTGTTTCAAGGTCCATACTTGCATCCATGAAGTGTTCTAGGTCCATACTTGGTTGTAGCACAAGTTTAGGGTCTTAGAAGTGGGTTTGTGGTCCTAAGATGTGTGTGGGGTTGCACATGGGAGTGTGTGGTCGCACACAAGGGTGTGTGGTCGCACACTTGGGTGTGTGGCCGCACACTTGGGTGTCTGGTCGCACACTTGAGTGTGTGGCCGCACACTTGAGTGTGTGGTCGTACACCCAATCAATATAATGTCCAAAATGCCATTTCCAAAGTGTAGCAAGGCTATGGTCATGTCTAACTCGAAGATGGAAGTCCGACTCTCACTTTGGAGGGTCTTTTAAGAGTGTGCGGCCACCATATGTGGGTGTGCGGCCGCACTCACTTCCAAACACGAAGAACATGTCGATTTTTGTACACTTAAGGCTTAGATAGAGTGGTCTTTCATGGTTTGCAAGCTAGAGGATGAATTACTCACGTTTTTGACGCTTTAGAGGGTTTGTGGTTGAAGAAGCTTGAGAGAAATGGTGTTGTGTGCTGCCAAGGTGTTAAAGGAATGAAAGGAAAGGGGTCTATCCTTTATATAGGAGTGAGTGTGCTGTCTAAAGGTGAGTGTGCTGCCAGGAGTTGTGTGTGCGGCCGCACACCCATGTGTACGGCCGTACACTCCCTCTAAGGGTGTGCATGGCCTTGTTTTGACAGAGTACGACTTGCTGACTTATTCCTAAACTCAACCTTGGTCATACCCATGCTTAGAATCACTTAAACGAACCCTCAAACAGTGCAAGAAGTCAACCAAACATGTTTAACTTTGATTGAATTGACTAAGTGTACAAGATAGAAGTTTTCGGGTTGTCACAGGTTAGGGTTTTTCTGAGTTAGGGGAAGGTGGAGGCTGAGAAATGAACCCTAAAACCGAGTTAAGGGGGCTTAAATACGTGAGAAACCCTAAAACTTTGTGGGCTTGGGCTGCAACGATCCTCACATCGTGAGCTCTTATTGCTCACGTCGTGAGCTCAGTCCTGGATAGAATCTTCATACAACCCTCCTCATGCCGTGAGCCTCCATGCCTCACATTGTGAGGACCCCTTTTTCTCCAAAAATCCAACATTTTGACCCTCTGAAAACCTAATTTGATTCATCCAAGAAAACGGATGTTACAATTTTGCTTAAGTGAATGTTCAAGAGAAGTAACCAGGCAACATTCGGTAGTAATAATCAAGTTAAAGTGATATGAAAATAGGGAAGCATGGTCATGTACTAAAGCAATTCGGCATACTATCTTACCACAAAATTTACCGCCTCACTCAAAGCTATGTTCCGCTACAACCATGCGATTTAATTGCACATTGTTTAGATTGAATATGGTCCCCGACATGCTCATACCTTCATAATTTATCATTGCTACCCCAAGAAATTAGTTGGTTAACGGATCCCATTGATCGTTCTAGTAATGCAAACAGGGTGGACGTCTAGGCAACCAATTTTCATTGCAAACCTCTTACTTCATAACCCCTCACATGAGCTGCACATCAACCGCTCGTAGAAATGCCCGAATGAAATTCTTCATATATATTCCTTGATTCCCTTTGCAAATGTGATTGTTATGTTTTGCTAAATACTTCAAACATATGTTCTGGGTAATTATGGTTCGACATCTATACTTCGATCCTCTACAGATCGACATACTTTGGTCACCTTAGTGCGATACATATGGGTCGGGCATCTATGCTTCGGTTATCCACGGACCGACATGCTTCGGTCTTCTGTGGTTCGGTGATCTACACGTCGGTCCTTTATGGTTTAGGCATTTACACTTCGGTTATCTACGGTTCGGAAACATACAGATCAGTATATTTGGTTTGGTATCTATACTCCGGTCATCTACGGATCAACTGCTTCGTTTGTGGTTCGGTACCTATGGTTTGGTATTTACTGATCGATACATGTGGCTCGGTATATAACCAACAGCAGTTCGGTATCCATGGTCCGGTACCTGTGGTTCGACACTTGTGGATTCTCATCATAGCCAGAAGTTGACATTTCAGGGATACTACTTGTTCTGTTGATATTAATGAAGTCTTCTGCATTGGATCGCTCACCTTCTTATTTTTCTACAATATTTTATCAACTTCCCACTTATGGTCGTCACCTACTTCAAATCTTTGAATCTTTCAAATAAACGCCATAGCCAAATCCTTATGGGGTCCTCGATTCCTTTTAAAGACACATATTGCTTACCCATTATTCCCATCGTACAAGGGTGAAGTCCAAGAGTAGGGATATTTGTTAGCTACTTCAAATTAACCGTAGCATAGTCAATACCTGCTTAACTCGATAAACCACTGACACACTAAAGAGAAGACGGGAGCAAGGTCGTTACGATCGTTGGTAAGCTAGCTCTACCTATTCATTCTCTACTTGGAGGAAAATATACAGTTTGGTCAGTTGAGCTTTTGATTTCTCCACAACCACAAAAGAAAACCCGACCCCTCACTTTTTGTTTTGGAATCTAATCGGAAGTGGAGCCCATCCACATCATCACTTAGCTTCTCTACTGTATATATTTATTTCTTTTGTTTGCTAAAGTGGATATTTGAAGACAAGGATAGATCCAACACATCATCAAGTTATATTGGATTTAACTGCTTTAGCAACAAAGCTGACAATTCTCTCCGTTCCTTTTACCCTCTACAATTCTATTACTCTTGACATTGTAAAATCCCAGCTAAAAGGAAGCTAGTTCCAAAAAGTTAGCCACTGGATGGTGTTATTTCTAATTTCTATCATCACAACTTCTGATGATTCCTTGCATTTCCAATTTCATCATAATCGCAAAAGGAAGTTCAAATCTTTCGATTCTTTTTTCGTTATTTATGATCACTAGTATATACCATAGACAATATTGAACTTTTATCTCCGTTATCAAGTCGATTCAGTATCAATTCGGATTCCAACCCGAAGCAAAAAAGAGATTTTACTGTAAACTTAACTTGCATTCCAAGTGTTCGTAAAAATGCTCCTATAAGCATTGTTATCAATGAACCATTTCTTGCAAAACCACGATGAGATAAAAATATTTCAAACGAAAAGTGTTCAACAGATGGCCATAACCAGGAAGTTATTTTAACTCCAATCTATTTGATAATTTGAGCGTCTTTATGGTTCAGTATGTATACTTCGGTCGTCTATGGTTCGAGCATCTACACTTCGGTCGTGCATGGTTCGAGTATTTACACTTCGGTCATTTTCGGATCAGTATGCTTTGGTCATTTGTGGTTCACTATTTATGACCTGGTATACATTGATCGATACTCATAGTTCAGTATCCACCGGTATATATGGTTCGATATTAACTGTTGGTCAGTAGTTAGAGCATCTCTAACCCACTCCCATTCTTCATTATTTCCCCCATTTCTTCCCTCATTCCTCTCCAACCCTAACCCATTTATTCCTCCATTTTGGGGGAAATGAATTGTATAACACTAAATATGGTGTTATACTATTCATTTCCCCTAAAATGGGGATGAACTTTGAGTTGTCGGTTTTAGTCCCTCGTTTTATATATTTATATAGTTCTAGTTTTTTTATCTACTAACTATTATTTAAATGTAATATTTAATACTTATAATATTGTGTTATATATTAAATTATATTAATTAATTATAAATATATTTTTTTTTGTTTATAAAATTCATATTAAAATTTAAATACATATTGAAATTTTAAAACACAATAACGTATTTTACAAAAACTTATAATTACGTATTATAAATATAATCTTATTTATTTAATATTATTGTAATGAAAAAAATATAGATTATATATTTGTTAAAACCAAATTAATAGAAGTGATGTATTTGATAATTTATATAAGTTAGAAGAATAGAATATATATGTTTTTTTGGGAGTAAAAACGAGATAAAAAATATAGTAGGATGACTGTTTATCCCATTTTTTAGGGAAAAAAATAGAAGTGAATCGGAGATATAAGTTATGTTTTACATTGATCGTACTTGTGGCTTGGTATTCGGTGATCTGCATCTATGGTTTGGTACATATGGGTTTTCTTACCTCATTACAATCACAAAACCAGTCAACTCTCGACCCCTTTCCTCTGTCTGATAACCGACTTCAGTGGTAAACGTCACCTATGTTCTTTGACGATCGATCAAACCAGACAGCCATATACCTGAGCATTAGTAAGTTGTACCTAAGTTGTACATAAAATCGATTCTATTGTAGCAAAATTGAATTCGTCAATGGATGTTGGCGACTTCCATTTTTTCCCGTTTGACTTTATTCTATGCCAGTATTCCCGACATTGAAGACGATACTCGATCCAGATGTTCACAACGCAGCTCGGTTCATCCCACCTAGAAATCTACACGTGATTGTCAAATCTAGCAATCCTAAATCAACATGTAAAAAAAAGGAGTTTCTTGACTTGAGCTTCCATCTGACTTGGTTCATGACAAATTCAATCCCACATCTATCTCTCAACGAATTCAATCCCAACATCAAGTATTTCTTTTGATGGCCTACTCAAGCGATGGTGTGTCACTACAGCAAAACATAATTGCAATAACAGTGATAGGCTTGTGCTACCTCATCCGACTTCAGATGTGTATAAAAACTATCGCGTCATATTAAAATGGTCACACTTCAAGCACATACTAAGCCCATTGCACCAATCCTATGATTTGGGCATCTAAGCTTCGGTCACGCATGTTCTGGTCCGATATCCATGGATCGGTATATATGGTTCGACTTCTATTGTTCGGTATACATCGATCGACACCCACTGGTTCGGACACGTACGGGTCGGCATCCCCGGTGCAATCTATTTCGAACCAAACTTCGCAACTCCAGGCATACTCATGGAAGGTTAATTGGATGAACAGTGAAATCTTGAATCCACACTTGAGGTGTAAACAAACGAATCAATTGAGTGCATCATCACACAATGTATATACGGTATATACGGATCGTCATTTGTCGTTCAAGCATCTATGCCTTTGTCACCCAAGAGCTTGCAATCCAACTCTCGGTCCACGAATCCATTCCACCCTGAATTTTTGTTTTTTTTTTTAAAAAAAAAAAGCAAGATCGACATGTGTAAGATGTTTTCCTTCCGGTTGAAATAAGCTGCAACAAGCCATCATTTATGATTCTTCGCCAATCAAGCAAACTACAATATGCATTAAGATATTTTCTCATCGACTGAACCTATTTATGGAAAACTTGAAAATAGAAATAGTGTTTGTTCAGTTGTTAACCTCTTATTCTTCTACACAGGTTGAAAAACATTAATCATTACCTGTTAAGTAACCGTTAAAAAGGATGGAATGGGTTGTGCACACAAGATGTTCTACCAAATGCTTAAAAGAGTGATTTTTTACTATATCAAGCTCCAACACCCACGACAGTTGTTCATCATATTGTGTTCTCTTCAAAGCCTAATTTCAACACCCTACCTTATGCACCCTTCATCTGAACTTCATTAGTTTTGGTGATGGTTGTGCACACAAGATGTTCTACCAATTCTGCCCCATGGATCATCTTCAAAGCCATCCTCAAACAAGCCACTGCAACAACAAAGAAGAGAATCTCCTACAGATCAATAAGAAGTTATTCAAGAACATGTCATGCATAAATGGCATCAGTTCTATGGCAACAACAACAAATTCACACCAGGTATTTTATGGCTACCGGCTGTAATAATCTATCTAACGGATCCACAAATTCGATACTCTATCCGTTCCTCATCTATGGGTGTAACAATCGAGTTATTTGGTTTGATACAGAAGCATTGCCCATACCATCTCTACTCGAATCTGAGTATAACCATCACCAAACACACCCGAAGAGACATTTCACTTCAGTCACATGCTTCAGTCCGGTGTCAACGGTTCGGTATTTATAGATCGATATCTACACTTCGGTCTCTATGATTCGGTATCCATGGTTCCATATCTATGGAACGATATCTGCTGTTGATACTAGCTTAGCAAACGGATGATTCATCTGCCTTACATCCTAATCTTTGCTTTTTTCGTTACCTCTCGATGGCTTTTCTAGCTCAAATCATACATCACATCATATAGATCATAAGGTACGATTTACATATTTTTAATGTCAATAATAATAAGTGAATGTGAATGCACATGGACAACGTGCAAAGTGCACCACATGCTCGCCACTTTCGTATGATGTGATAACTTGCTCTATCTTTTAAATGTGATATCTTGTTCTATCATAATTGGTCACAAATTTGGATTGACTTGACAAAGTCTTTCCTAAACTAATAATGCAAATCATCATATGAATCACAACTTTGGATTGGCTTAACAGACCATCTTTAAGTTTAAAAATTGTAACGACCGAAAAATTGTGAGGTAAAAATTTCATTTTTAATTCAATCAAAACACCAATTATCTTTTTATTCAAACATTTAAAAATATTTCATAATAAAACAGTCATCAGAGTACAATCCCAAAAGTATCACATTGCGGAACCATGGGTGGATGCGCTGCGATAAAGCCGGACCCTTTCCATTCGAACCCGAAGTACCTGAAACCATAACCATAAAAACCGTAAGCACAAAGCTTAATGAGTTTCCCAAAATACCACATACCATACATACCATTGGGCCTAGCCCTCACATTGCGCCCAACCCGTATATTAGGCTCAACCCACCATAATGGGCCTAGTCATGCCAAACCAATGGGCCTAGCCCGATCATACAAATGCAAATGTCACAAAGATAGTTAGCACCCTACATAACATACAATGGGTCTCGCCCTTCCTGATCCATGGGCCTAGCCCAACATACAAATGGGCCTAGCCCGTCATACAATGGGCCTAGCCTAACATACAAATGGGCCTAGCCCAACATACCATGCAAAAATCACAAAGACAACTAGCATAACATATCCTAGTGGGCCGGCATTTGTGCCTTCGACCCACGAGTACAGTGAGGAGACTCACCTCAATTCGCTGATAACCAGAAACTGTTCGGGTCGCTGAACCGGATAATCTCGCACCAACTTACAATAAATACAACCTTAATTAATAACTAACCCAATAACCCAAAATCCAAGGCCCAATCTATAATCCAATTTCCTAAAGGGTAAAATACCATTTTACCCCTCACATAACTGGTCCCACATCTAATGGCCCAACCCCTAAAAGGCCCAAGGCCCAAAAGGCCCAAAATAGATTTCCTGGGGAGTACGCCCTGCGTACTCAAAATGTACGCTCCACGTACCGACTGCCGAAGCATGATGTACAAGTCGCCAATGCACGTAAATTGCATTACACTGAGCTTACTCCTATGTACTCCCAACGTACCCAACAGAGGGCCAAAGATCCCACAAAAAGCTCTTAATGGTTAAGACAAGGACATCCAAAATCATATATGACCCTAAATGATGTCTTAACGCGTAAAGTTGGCAACTTTACTCCTTTACATGCCTTAAAGGGACACAATACTCAATTAAATCCATGATAAACAACCAAACTCATGCATGGTCCAAAATAACTTATCAAGTTTGCATTTTTATGAACAAGGGACCTCACAAATGCTAAGATCTAGCATTCTGAGCTCGTGGAGTAGCTCATACTCACATGGATGACTCTAAGGACCAAAATAAACCCAAAACATTCCTTAAAATAGATCCAACACATAGAGTCATCAAGCTAGAAACTTTATACCTCCATAAGGTAGATCAAGATGCACAAAGCCTGGATCCAAAAGCTTCAAGCAATCCCATACTTCTCCAAGAAGCTCCATCTTCTTCAATAAGCACCAAAATGCATGAAATACCACCAAAATCTCAAGAACAACACCAATGGGGGCTAGGGTTTCATTTATAGGGTTTAATGGGATGGAGGCTGAAGATAAGAGGGTTTGGTGTTAAGTTAAGGAGCTTAAATAAGGTCCAAGACCCAAAATTAGGGTTTAGGTCTGACTGGAGTATGCCATGCGTAATCTCAGTACGCCGAGCATACTCCAAAGGAGTCCCACAACTACCTTTCATAGTATGCCTAACGTACTTCCATGTACGCCCTGCGTACTAGGCTCAACCCTAAAACCGCCAAACTTCCAAAGGCCATAACTTCTTCGTTCTAAGTTCGTTTTCAACGATCCTTATATCCTCGGAAAGGTAGCGAGAAGCTCTATGCTTCTATCAACTCATCCTTGCCTTAAAACTTCCGAACTAAAATCCAATATTCATAAAAGCCCGAACTGCCACTTTACGGTTATACCCTTGGGCTTCAAATCACAAACCGAACTCTCAGATCATCTAACCTACATTACCCACACCCAAAGGGTCTAAATCTCTCTTTCCCAAAGGCCCTAAGCCTTATGATAACCGACCTTCGGGTCACGGCCCCGAATTAGGAAACGATTCGGAACAGGGTGTTACAACTCTCCCCCACTTAAATTAGATTTCGTCCTCGAAATCACTCCTTACTACCTCCAGCCAATGCTCTGAACAAAACCTCCTAACGCTGAACAAATCATTGATCCTTTAACGGTCGAACCAATACATTACTGCTATGATCCCGAAGCCCCATAACTTGCTTCAACTTCACACAGGTAGAACCAAATCCAAAACACAATCACAATGGCCTCTTTCTACCATCAGAACTGAAAACATCCTTTTGATTAGAAACCCTCCAACTGATACCCTTGGCATACAGATTCCTTAATCCATAACTTGCTGAAGTACAGATCTTGCATATATACACTCACGACTCCCACACGAGTCTCGACGAAAATCCAACCCGGTACATAACTCATAACCTAAGATCCAAGGATTTACCCTTGCATTTCACCCGAAATCTTCTGATTCACGGTGATCTTTCACTAAACTGGGATATAAAAATCCCCAATCCACCGCTGAGACTGCCAACCTTACACATGGTCCGGCCACCAGGTTCCTGAGAGTCTAACCGATAAGGCTACCCTAGCCTATGCATCACTCCTATGCCACTCTAATCATGATCCAATACCTTGACCCAACCGGTCCCTACCGGGTCTCACCCGCATTGTCATAACCATACGTGCCTTGCCCATGGGTCTCATCCAGTCTATAGCAAACGAACGGGCCATGCCCACAGGTCTTACCCAATCGAGAGCTATACAGATCTAACCTCGCCTCGGACCCCAATAATCTTCCTCCCATAAAAGGGAGATGCTCTCCGACAATACTGTTCGCCTTGCCCTAGGCACGAGCTGTGATAACCCGCAATTTTTTGCCTTGTAAGTCCAGCCATTCAATTCAACCGAGAGTCAGACTCGTTTCTGCTATCAATTAGCATTGTTAAGGATCACTTTAAGGGTTCTAAGCTCAGTACATTCAAGGATTGAGTATATGATTGAGTTGCTTAGGTTCTTCGCGTTGAAATCAAGCCGAACACTCCATCAAAGGGAGTGTACGGCCGTACATCCATGGCGGCTGTGAACTCTCCCCTATATATAAGCCATCACCTAATTTTTCATTCATTTCTTCAACTTCCAAGTCAAGAACTCAAATTCTCTCTCAACTATCATCAAGCCTTTTCACCTAGATCTTCAAAGAAAGTAAGTATTCTTCCATTGTTACTTGATTCCTTGCATTAGCTAGTAAAGATCCATGATTCAAAGCCTTTAAACATCATCAAACTCAATAACATCAAGAGTGTACGGCCGTACACTCTATCTATGGCCGTACACCCTTGTTAAGTCCATAATCTAAGGCTTTAAACACTTGCTAGGTGTTAGCTATCCATTAGAACTCTTGAACCCTTGAACCCCTTTGATTTAAGACCCAAAAAGTGCATCCATCTTAGAGGGTGTACGGCCGTACACACTTGGTGTGGCCGTACATACCTCAAAACCCTCCAAATTGAAAGCCTTATTCATCCTTTGGTTGTACATTTGTCACACTAGCTTCCCCATGGATCAAAACCATCTTTTGCATGTTTTCCATGAGTGTACGGCCGTACACTCATATGTCCGTACACACCTTGGCCGTACACTCCATGTTGTAGCCTTAAACCCCCTTTGATCAATCACATGTGATTGTAACACTTAGTCCAAGTGTTTCCTAGTCCCGAAGGGGGTGTTTCCTTGCATGTTAGTTGTGTAAAACACTAATTTCATGCCTATATATGCCATTATATATCATTTAGGATTCGTTTGTGTCTCGGGAGTTCATTCGTGGAACTTGTCATCCTTACACGCATATTCGATTGAATCACCCACATAAGGTGAGTTCATACCCCTATAATCAATCTTTTAAATGTTTTAAATTCTTTTAAGGGGGGAATACAAGTTAAACACAATGATAATTATGTAAATATTATTTGTGATAACTATCATATTCAAAGGATTTCTTATGCTTTATAAGTGATCAAAACCATTTCAAAAACTCTTTTAAAGTTATGTTACTTTATTGTTTATAAAATACTGTTTTTAAAGTACAATCATAACTCAGTAGATAAATGAGTCTTTTTGTTCAAGTCAGTAACAGTTCAAGTCAACATACTAGTAAACTATAATAGGTATAGTTTAGGGGTTCAGTACATACTATAACTAGGGCAGGGAGGAACATACTATAAAGAGAAACAGGGAGGAACATACTATAAAGAGAAACAGGGAGGAACATACAATATACTATAACCTAGGACCTTAAGTGGTTAATTCAATACACTGTTTCTAGTACAAAACACACTTTTCAGATAGAACATTGAGTAAACTAAACTACAAACTTACTAGTAAAGGGTTTAATCCATTTTATTAAACCATCATAACGTAAAGGACCTTAAGTGGTTAATTCTATAATACCTTAGTTTATACATCAGGGTTATATATAATTAATATCC